TGTGTGTGTGTGTGTGTGTGTGTGTGTGCGCGTGCACAAGCATTTTTTATCTTAAACAACCTATGTAGGAGGACGTTCCTGAGACTAGTGCAGACAGTTTTCGAAAATCTTTGACACAAGCAAAACATATGGAACAGCCAGTTGGTTCCAGTAATATCAGACAATAATACTGATTGGTTGTCCATAGTCAAAACATCATTCGGTGCGACAGTATTTTTATTCACTATGATATAACTTAAGTAGCAGTGGTGCAACAGACAAAGAACATGGCATGAGTTTAAGTGGTGAAAATGGCACAGATGTAACCTAACAAACCTTTTTTTTGTTTTTGACATGCAATAGTATAACATCAGAGATCATTTTAATTACTTATTACCTTGAGCTCAGGCATCACATGCTGCAGAACGAATGTCAAGCACCTGCAATGAATGTCTATCTAACTAAAGCTACCTAGTTTCGATGTATAATTTAAGGCGTGTTTTGCACCTAACCGTAAGACCAAATGTAGACCTAGCTGGTGTAGCGCATTTCTGGAGACCACATTGATTGTTTATTACTGGGGAGATGCTGGACCTCTGTGACCACTGGCTGATAGTCAACTTAACCTTTATGCTGGTTACACACATTTTTTGCATATTCAATGGAACCCGATAGTCCAAATTCACACAGTCCAGCCTTGTTCTTTAAGCCTGCAGTGATTGCATGCACACTTTAGCTGCTTACAGGGACTATCAGAATGTAACTTTCAGAGTTGGGGGAGGGGGTGAGGAGAGGTAATCTGTTTATGATGAGGGGAGGGAGGGTGTCAGTGCCCTCTCTCCCGCCCCGGAGACCGGGATGACCACCCTTGCTAAATGTCGAGCACGTCCTTGGAGATGGGCACTGTTTGTGCGGTTGTCAGGAACTCCTCTCCCATGTGTGAATGAGGAAAAGCGCCGTTTGTTTTGGCTCGTGCTGGAGGTTTGAATCAGATAAGTACAACAAGTGAGTCAGTTGTGTGTTGTCTTTGAGTCTCTGCCCCCCCCCCCCCCCCAGTCCACGCCACTCCCTGCCTTCTTCCGTTTCCCCTTGGCTTCCATGCCCTTCCCCCATTTTCATGCATCACGGGGGACAGGTATCATCCACAGATGAGTAATGTGCAGGTCTCCGCCCAGGGAGTTACGCTGACCCTCACTGGAAATGCCGCGGTCCTGCTATAGCAAGTTAGCGGGCCGTGTCCGGGCCATGATGAGGACCAGCGGGGTTACCCTTTTTGTGCCGTCATTTCTGCTCCACCTCTCCAGTTTGAGGAAATGAGGCATCAGCCAAGATTGGGCACTCCAAATTTCCGTGACCCTGGTCACCGTGGCTGTATCTGATGACCGCGGCTTCTGAGGGCCGATAGGGTTGTGGCTGGAACGGATCCAGGAAGGCAGGGAAGGTCCGTGTGCCCTGTCCTCCGTGATGCCCATCTCTGGTCTGCACTATCGCTTCAGGAAGTGGGGAGGTGTGTGCGAGGGGGAAGCTGCTCGACACGGTAAACGGGCGTCACTCCTGATAAGCCCTGGGTCTGCGCAGCTTACATTGTGCGTTGTGCTTGTCGGGATGCTGACGCCTCTCCAAACAGAACCCAGCACATGACTGATCTTGGGTGCTGGCACGATTACAAACAGAACCCGACACACACTGATACTGGAGGCAGACACATCTTCAAATGGAACCCAGCACAGGACCCTTCCTGGAAGCCCACACATCTCCAAAGAGAACCTGGAGCATTACCGATCCTGGAGGCCAGTATGTCTCCAAAGAGAACCCAGAACATGATGGATCCTGGGGGCAGACATGTCTCCAAACAGAACTTGGCACACAACCAATCCTTGAGGCTGACACGTCTCCAAAGAGAACCCGGCACACAACCGATCCAAGAGGCCAACACATCTCCAAACAGAACCCGGCACACGACTGATCCTGGAGGCCTTCAGGATCTGTCATGTGCCGGGTTCTGTTCGGAGACATGTGGGCATCCAGAATCGGTCATGTTCCAGGTTCTGTTTGGAGACATGTGGGCATCCAGAATCGGTCGTGTTCCAGGTTCTCTGTGAAGAAGACGTGTCTCCCTCCAGGATTGGTCGTGTGCCAGGTTCTGTTTGGAGACGTGTCTGCCTTCAGGATCGGCCATGTGTCGAGACACGTCTCCAAACAGAACCCGGCACACGACCGATCCTGGAGGGAGATACGTCTTCATAGAGAACCTGGAACACGACCGATTCTGGATGCCCACATGTCTCCAAACAGAACCCGGCACAAAACTGATTCTGGAGACTGACACATTTCCACAGGGACCCACTCAGAGGTTGTTTTTTCCCCATTGCAATCGGTTCCATTTTTTTTACGCAATCCTACATGGGAGTAACACCCAGGTCACTGTAAATTCCGTAAGTGAACAATATCTTTAAAATGTAACACCTCTGGTATCCTGACAGGAAAGATTCATAAAAATGTGCGTGATCCTCAAATAATGGATAGTTAAATATGTAATTATGGATAAATATGGAAATAAACCAGAATACATTTTAACAGACATTAACCTTCCTATATATGGAAGTCGGTGTCAAGAAATGTTCTATATAATTCATTTTTATATTACTGGCTCACCCCTTTGAATGCCGGCCCTTTAACACCTTGGGCGTAAAGCCCAGCTACGACAGTCTTTGCTGTCACACAAGGTGTGACTTCTGGGGTGACCAGTCACCGGTGTGACAGATTTATGGCATAACCCATGCAAATACTTCAGTCATATGAGTATCCGTGTGCATCATGTGATATCATCACATAAGGTATATGTGAGTATGGGTTGAATGAAAAATTGAATTTGCATAAGGTGGGTGATAGTATGTAGCTAGATAGTAGAATGAAAATGGTAGCTGGCAGCAGCGGATCTCTGCTTACGGGAGGCAGCTGTAAGAAGCTGGGCTCGACAGGCAGGTTTCCTGCCAGCTAGTGCCTAGTGTGAGCGTGAGCGTGCCCCACGCTCCAGGAATTTCAGTGTGCTACGGCGCCCTCTTCTGGATTCCTGCAGAACTGCAGCTCCCGCGCACCTGAGCGGCAAGGGAGGGGGGTGCGCGGTGATCTTGCTGCGGAGCACCATACTCATGTAAGGATGGAGCACCCCTTTCTGTGGTGAAAAAGTGGACCGACCTCCTCTCTTTCATCCTCGGCTCATTCTAAAAATAGCCACCAAGCAGCATTTCTTCGGCGTACAGGAATTAGATTGCATGGTATGACTGGAATTAGCTTGAGGTTGAATTATGTGAAAATGGTTGGATATGGTTGCGATTGTGGTTTGGAGTGAAGGCTGATGTCTGATAGTGGGTGTCAGTGCTAAATTGGGTAATTTAGTTAGCGACAGAGTGGTTTGGTTTCGAAGTAATCTGATTTTTATTAAACGAGTTTTTATACCAAGCGCTTAATGTCTGCTGGACATTAGTAGTCGGGAAGCCGCGCCGTCAGTCCTACTGGAAGGGCGCTGGCCCAGTCAGGCACGTCTCCTGGGTGCGGTTCCGAACTGTTTTCAGGAAGCTCATGATGCCCGACCCACCAGTCCCCCTCTCTTCCAGGGAGGTGGGGGCCTTGCCCAGAGCCTCCACCTCACCCGGGGTACCCTGGGAGCGGAGCTGGCGTGCCTGGGCTGCTGGCACGGTGATGAAGCGTCCCACTATCTTGATGTGGTAGTTACGCAGGACCAGCAGCCGCGACACACAGCGATGGTAAGAGTCCAGCAGAGGGCCGCCGGCCCGGTCCTGGACAAAGTGACGCAGGGAGGGGCTGGCTGCGATGTCGCGGATGAGCTGCCTGTGGGCGGGGGGCATGTACTCTCTCATCCGGGACAGAAAAGCACCTGCCCAGGCAGACAACAGCCTCAATTCCATGCCACCTTAAATTTCCCAGGATTCCCCGCTCTGACTTTCCTTGCCCACCCCTTCTCTAAACGCCCCTTACCGCTTTGCTCTTCATGCTGGACCCCCAGCAGCTCGTCAAAGCAGTGCAGCAGGCTGCTCTGAGCCGCGCTCCCCCCAGAGAACTCCATGGGCTCCTCCTGCACCCCCTCATACACCAGACCCTCCCTCATGGAGGGGTTGTCCTTCCACCTGAATGAAGACCATAAACATTAAGCAGTCGCTTGGATGATGGAGGGGTACCACACATTCCTCGGGCACCCCGAGCAGCCCCTACCCAGAGAGGTAGATCCGCATGATGCCGTAGAAGACGTCCGGGTTGACGTACTCTGGAATAGCATGAGAAGGAGAGGGTCAAAGGTCACGGGTAAGCATCGGGCGGAGCCCCTTGCCCATTTCGTCACTGTCCATACCGTGCATCAGTTTGAGCGCCTCCGTCATGCTGTGCAGCGCCTCTGCTATTTCCTCCAGTGCCTGCGACACCCCCACCGAGTCCCCGGCCCACACTCCATCTATGACCTTCGGGATGGCCTGAAACACATGGCCGCCGCTCGAGGTGACCCCATAACCCCGCGCAGCGTCCCTCAGCTCTGCCTTCCACAGTATCTCTCTAGATTTGGACTTCTGCTTTTTCTGTGTGAGCGCTTGGAGCAGTAAACACACTCTGTCGAGGGAGCCGTACGCAGAGGAACAGAGGTACGGCATAGAAAGACAAAATGTTTTATTTACTCCTCATTTAAGTAAATGTATCAACGCAGCAAACAGTCTCTACACAGTTATACAACTGGGAAGCGTAAAGTAACACCGACCACTTTCCTGTTCATCCCACGGAGGGCAGAGCCAGAAGCCCCTCTTAAGAAGTGAGTGAGGGTGGGGGGCAACCTGGGTAGGGTGTCAGTCCATCACCAGGCACCCACTCCCACCCAACACCAGGAGAACGTGTTCAGTCCCTCAAGCTGCCCTGTACTCAGGCAGATCACTTTCTCCTTCTCTGAGTCATTAGCCCCCCCCCCCCCCC